AATCAGGATCTTCCTTGGCTTCTCAAAGCCCTTAGCGGTCGCTTTTTACGACCAGCTAGCCTGGCTTGCATACACGTTCTGTGTTCAAGAACACAGAGCTCTTCGGGGCTGGGCTTTGCTGCCCTCTACTTTGAGGCACAACATAGCTCAGTTCTTCCCTAGTAGGACATTCGCACCTACTGGGCTCTCTCGTTTCCCCGCGACGGACCAGACTGGTTAGAGGCGGGACGTCGGTTCGATGAATCTTTACGCGCCTTGCGCAGGGGCCAAACAGTCCGACGGTGACGGGTGTATCCACAGACCAAACACCGTCGGGTGTTTGAACGCTGCTCGACAGCTCGGAGCTTCATCCTCTTTCTCAGCAAAGCTGAGATCCATTAGCTTAGGTCCGCTCGATGAGCGCTGAGGGTGTGCATTCCAACCAAGTCGTACCGACTTAAGGCTGAATCCCTTCAATACCACATTTCTCGCTTCTTTAAACGAAGACGGATGCACACGAAAGACTTCCATTCTGGCCACGCAAGTGCGGAGGTTCTCCATAAAGACGGCCACTGAGACCGCATCGGGGAGTAGATCGGCTGCCATCCCGGCAATGAGAGCTCGCAACTCATGGACAAGCCCACCAATTACTTCTTGCCTTGTCGGACGGCAAGGAAACGCGATCGCACGCGATATGCCTGGTTTAGCGGCGAGAACACTCACAGAAGCTGCAGCTTTCGCTCCTTCCAGGAGGGGAACGCCGCTTCAGCCGAAGTACCGAACGTTGGTGCCCATTCTGGCCCTCAGCTTCATAGCTCGGATATAGCTCGCACCACGCGCTGTTGCTCGTTCTGGAGCATGGCGGTGCCATAGCCATCTCAACCTCTCTCACCAAGAGCAGATAATTTTGTCCATCCTTACCCTCGAAGGTCTTATCGCTCACCATGAACAGCCTGGATCGGGAAGAGTCATCCGTCGTCGACAGTGGCGATATGGACGCAGTCTATGCGGACATCATCTCTTCTAGGTGCTCTAAGCGAGCATTTATAGGTAAAAAACGCCTTTAGGAGCGCTCTTATCATTTCAGGTCCTTGCGAAGCAAGGTGTTGCTCGCACTCAAGAGGGCCAAGCAGGGACATCAGCTTATAAAGCCTGCCCTGCATTTCTGGGGGCAAATAGGAGAATTGCTTCGCCCCTACTGAAGATCAGTCGTAAGACTTAGGAGTAGATTGACTACGAGTGCTACCAAGTGCAGCGGGGCTACGGTAGCTCTTCGCTTAGAGGAAAGCTTACTCAGGTCACTGACCTTACGCTGCATATTAGAACCAGTACAAGTGTAGCGGATTGCAATCCGCTACCTCCAAGAGTTCCCAGACCCCTAACCAAGGCAAATACACCCTTAGCCGCCTACATCTAAAACCTTAGGTTTTCCTATTCAAATAGTGAGACCCAAATAAATGCATAACTACTGGCAGTCCCACAATGTAGAGTATTTTTTAGAACGTCACCCTTTTTTAGGAGTGCGGTCACGTGATCAAGTACGACAGGTGGCAGATGGATGTAGTCAGACTAGCTAATACGCTGTTGCCCACTACCATTTTGACAGCACGAACACAAGATAAGATTGTATGGTTAAACGTTATAAATATAAATGCTTGCTCTGACTAAGATTGAAATTGGATAGCATGATTAATCGCTATGCTTGCTCTGACTAAGCTTTTCCTTCGCCAACGTTTGATCTTCGCATTCAGTATGATATCATACTTTAGTATAGAGTCTACTACAAACCTTTATAAACCTGTACTGGACTCCAACATTTTATCGCAAAAGTGTAAGATAAAGCTAGTTGGACTCCAAAAACGTATATATTATCTATTTGATTGAGTCGTGCTCTTTCTGTGTAATTGATGTAGGTCTCACAATTGCGGCTTCTCCGGCTTCTTCTTATAAAGTGTTGAAGGTTCATTTTGTATGACAAGACGATTAAAGACTATCCTCTATTCTTATTCGTGGTCAGAAATAGTGGAACTCCACTCCATACTGATTGGTTTATTATAAAATCCATTCAGACTACAGACAGCCAGCCATTCGGGTCTTATCCTGCTGTGATGCTTGCGACTTCACGCGCTTCAGAGCTGACGCAAGCGCCATCGAAACTCTCGTCATCTCCGTCTTCAGCTTTTCAGTCTACAAGATCACCATTGAAATGCGAAAAGAGTAGTCAGGATGAAACTGCTACTTGTCGAGTCAATGGGTTACTTCCGTTTAAGGCACAATGCAAATCAGCTGTTGCTTTGGTAAATGAGCGTCGTATTGATTTTGTACGTGCGAAGAATGTGCGAATAATTGGTCAAGTAGATGGCAAATTTAAGGAGAATAGAGTTCAAAAGGAAGAGAAAAGGGAAATTACCAGTGTCGAAGCGGTTGAAAAGGTGCTTGCATGGCACCAATCGCGAAAAATTGGTCCAGGTTTTGCCAATTTGGGCAACACGTGCTACCTGAATTCAGTGTTGCAATGCTTGACTTATACTCCTTGTTTTGCGCAATTGTTGTTGGACAAGGAAATGTCTACGTCTTTTGGCACTAGTTCGTCTAAATTTCATAAAGTTGGACATCATGGCACTCATGGCAATAACTTTTGCAGTGTGCGTGCCATGTCGCGATTGTTGCAATTGGTACACGGTAATAATACGGTACGTGTATTGCAACCAAAAGAAATGGTCATGAATATACGACACGTTTCTAAGACTTTTCGCATTGGTCGACAAGAAGATTCGCACGAATTCTTTCGTCTTTTACTTGATTCTATGCAGCGTTCGTGTTTGCGTCGCGCGCAAATTAAAAGTGAAAGTCACGTGGCAGCGAGTACTACATTTGTGCATCGTATTTTTGGTGGAAAATTAAAAAATTGTCTTAAATGTGCCAAATGTGGTTTTGTGTCGGAACGATATGATGATTTTTTGGATTTATCATTAGAAGTTGCATCTGGTGTTAATTCAATTATTGGAGCGTTGCGCCATTTTACAGCAACTGAAAAACTGGACGATTACAATGCATGGAAATGTTCGCAATGTGGTCAACGTAGTCGTGCTGAAAAGGGACTATCTATTGCCAAATGTCCAAATGTACTGATGATTCAGCTCAAGCGCTTTGATGTCATGTCTGGTAAGATTAAGCGACATATTGAATTTCCACAAATGCTGGATATTGCAATTGGGATGAGTAAAAATTGCGATGATTTGCATCGAAAACGAACAAAGTACGAATTGCATGCTGTCCTTGTCCATGCTGGTTATTCAACAGATTGCGGACACTATTTTGCATTTGTCAAGGGTTCGTCCGGACAATGGTACGAAATGAACGATGATTCTGTACGATGGGTTCGTCTGGAGACGGTGTTGCAACAAAAAGCGTACATGCTCTTCTATTCGAGGGTGTTGCCTATGTCAGAGCGTATCAAGACAAAAGAGGAAATTAAGGAAAACACTCAATTGTCACGGCCGAAGACAAGCCAGAATGTTGTACTCAAGACAGATGTGCGTACAGTCACGGAGCTAGACATGAAGGGATTTCTTGCGAGTCTTAAGACACCAGTGGTTCCGTCCACTCCTGCAACTGATAGAGCGTTGGTCACGTCGGATACCATTTGCAACACGCAACAGGAAACAGTTGAGACGTTTAGGGTAAGTCAAGTCGAAAGTGGGCGAAATGATGATGCTGAGCGAAATCAGTACTTTATATCACCCAGTTTTACCGGTCGTCTAGGGCGAATTTCTCGATTTCACCCTGCATTGTGGACCAAATGTCCGCAACTTGGGATGAATCATAGTGTTGCCGAGATGTCGGATGCCACAAATGTGACACCAAGTGAAATGTCTGCACCTTCAGTTGCCACTCCTGTTGCACCAATCAAAATGTCTTCATGTTCTCGGGTACCATTTGATCCACAACATTTGAAAAATGTTGGTGTACGTAGTGCGGCATTGTTTGGGCGTACGGTGGACAAGTGGACGGGTGAGACGGACGTTGAATCTTCTGAAACGACAAGTGACGAAGCAGTGGACAAGACATTAGCCGTGCAACATGATCGTGTACTCAACGCATTAAAGCAAGAGGAATGGAAACAGCGTAATACTCGTCGACTGGACTATTGGAACGAAACTTTAGATGTTGGCAAGATGAAAAAGGTGAAAAAACGGAAAGAATTTGTGCCGAATCAAGGTCGTGCGAATGTGTTTCAAAAGACTTTAATGCGTCAGAAAGATGAGGTGAAGCGACAACGAACAGTCTAGTGGAATGTTTGTCATTGGTACACAATAGAATGTGTTTACTCTATTTTTGCATGGTAAAAGTGTCCAATTTTGACAATGTGACCATATTTTATTGTGACCTTTTGTTATTGAAGGGGCGCAGTGCAACAGGGTAAAGTTGCCATGGACACTGATATGCACGAGATTGTTGCACATGAGCAGTCAAGAGTGTTTGTAGATGCTACAAATGATTCTATCTCGACTATTGAACGAGATGACCCAGCAATTGACGACGAGAGTGAGGAAGCTGTTGCCACTGATGACGTCGACCAGTCGTCGTCTGCTTCGACAGATGCTATGGTCGAATTTCTCCCACTTTCTTCCGAGCAGGTTGAACATGACGCTTTTCTAGTGCTCGTCGTGTTGCAACCTGATTCTTTGCGGCATCGAGTGATGGTCACGGCTCAGACAACTGTTGCAAAGTTACGGCAACTTCTTTGCACCGATTTACAGTTGGCCCCCGAATCTGTGACTTTTCCGGACTTTTGTCGATTGCGTGATAATGAAAACAATGTACTGCTATCTTCTCTTGGGATTCAAGCCGAGTGTACCATCGAAGCTTTTGTAGCGAAATCACCCATTTCAAACGATTATATTATGCCTGAGCGTTTGCAGGTTCAAGTTTACAATGGTACGAAGATGTGTGTTTGATTTTACTTATAAGATACTTATATATTGATATATGATGACAGAGGAGACGAAGTGTACCACTTGGATAACCGTAAACATTGAAAAGTTTGTAGGTCGCAAAGTGTACCTTGGAGGGTACAAACATCGAAAAACCTTGCAACTTTATCATCATGCTTCAACGCAGGTTTGAAAAATAGTACTTTGCTTTTTCTTCCTTTAGTTGTTGACGATTATTCTTTTTATCAATAGACTGATATACTTGAACCTCGTGGTCCACATGGTCCACTTCGTTATCATCGAGATACTCAGACGCAGATCCTCGTCACATGCTCAATTCAAACAAAACGTGAGTCGGGAACGCAAATGTCTCGTCGGGATCTTAAACTTGATGAAGCATTTGATTATCAGATTACAGCACATCCATATTTTGATTCGTATCAATTCGAAAGTCTTCGAGAAGATTCCGTGCTTGTTATTCAACGAATGTGGCGAGGATATCGAGCTCGAGATCTTGTGTTTTCTATGCTTGAGCAACGTCGTCGAAGTAAAGAAATCAAGACTTTAACTAGTTTAGATGCTCAAGCGGCAGAAAAGAGTCGTAAAGAACGTCAAGTCACTCGTCGGATGCATCCAAACTCTGTCAATGATTTTGAAAGTCTGTACAATGAGTTAGCAACGTGGCGTCAGCATGAATGTCAAAAAGTTCGTGCACAAACTCATTTAGATCAGAGTGATAAACAACGTGCAATTGATGGAATTTTAAAGAAAGAGACCAAGTTACTTCAAACAATTGACCGTTTAAAAGTTACAGCTACAGAAGGAAATCGAAATCAGCAAATTGAATCGATGATGCAGTTTATGGCACGTCCAAAACTATGGCAATTGAGTGATGGTGGGATTCAAAACGTACACACACCTTTTACTATCCGTGCAAAAGAATTAATGGATTTGTATCATGGTCTTCGGACTCCACTCCATTCGGTTGACGAACGTTTAGACATGTTACTTCATATCAAGTGGACAGTTCAAGAATTTGATTGTCCTTTGACACGTGAGATTATCGAACTTATTGATCGTGAAGCTGATATGCTTCATCGTGGACGGAAGGAAAAGAGTTTCGAAGGTTTGCGGAAACGTCTTACAAACCTTTTCTTACAATTTCTTGAGACACCTGAATTTAATCCAGAAGCGACCGCACTTAAGCCTGCGCGTACTTAGAATTCTTAAGTTATTGTCCCACATTTTAAAGTCTAGATCTCTTAACTTTTCTTTCTCTTTACTAAACGACATGACATCTTATAGTAAGCGACATAAAGCGATAGACGTGAATGAAGCTACGACGATTCATGTCTTTCCTGTACTCACAGCAGTAAATCTCGTGTGTCACGAATGCTTTCGTACCAAAGCTACCGAGAGTTTACTTCGTATGATCGATGCATTTCTAGATACTTTTTCTCAAAACTTGACTTTATCGACAGCGTATAAGAAATCAAATGGTAGTCTTCGATTACTTCAGTATCTTGCTGCTCGCGAAGTAAAAACAATGGATCCATATCTTCGACGTTGGGAAGTTAATAGTGTTACTGGTGAAATGGGTGCTCGTGGTGATCTACAAGGTTTACAATGGGTCATTCAAGAGTATTTACCAGGTGAATTTCTTACTGAAGTTGTTGCTCAAGCGTTTGCAAATGGACATGTGAATATCGTGACTTTTCTATGGAAAGAACATCGTGATATTGTGTATTGGGGAGGCATTGAATTAGTTGGAGCCATACGAAATCATCACGATAATTTGATTGCTTGGCTTCGAGAAAAGGTGGAGCTTCGATTTGAATATGCTCAGCATGTTGTGAAACATGCAGCAGCTCATGGAAATGTAGACGTTGTACGGTGGTTGTATGAAGAATTTAGCGTCGGCATTGCAGATGCGCTGAGTTCAGCCGCCTCTTATTGTCAGTGGGAAGTTATGCGCTGGTTAATCTTGATCCTGCTCTTCATACGTCAAATATTTTTTATTTGAGTTCGACACATCATGGGAATTTAGACATGATCAAGCTGTTGTTTGAACGAAATTTAGTCTCAGATCCGGTAGCGGTTGTGCAATCCGCTGCTGCACGTGGTCATTTACATTTGATTCAATGGCTTATTGAGAAAAAAAGGATCACAAATACTGGGGGATCGTTCTATCTTGCAGCAGAAAATGGTCAATTGGATGTACTTAAGTATCTACATGCGAAAAAACTTCATGCAGAGTCCGATCAATTTGCATTGGATGCAGCTGCAAGTTCTGGATCGCTTCAAGTTGTACAATGGTTACACTACAATACTCAAGCACATTGTACTAGTCATGCAATGGATGTTGCTGCTGGAATGGGAAATTTGGAAATGGTTCAGTGGTTGCATCATAGACGAACTGAAGGCTGTAGTTCGTTGGCAATGCACTTTGCAGCACAGAATGGACATCTTGAGACTGTTAAATGGCTTCATGTTAATCGAAAAGAAGGTTGCCATGTTCTAACAATGAAGAGATCAGCAGAACACGGGAATTTAGAAATGGTTTAATGGTTACACGCGAACAGACACGAAGCATTTGAACTTGGTGGTGTGATGGATTCAGCAGCTGCATACGGTGATTTGCGTCTCTTGCAATGGTTTCATGAAATTCGTGACGGAGGCTGTACAACTGCAGCCATGGATCGAGCTGCTGCAAATGGTTTTCTCTCTATAGTCCAGTGGCTGCACGAACATCGTACAGAAGGGTGTACACAAATGGCAATGAATGAAGCAGCCAAGAATGGCCATTTGGACATCGTGACATGGCTACACTGTAATCGAAATGAAGGATGTACTACAATGGCAATTGACAGAGCAGCTGCGAATAGCCATTTGGAAATAGTGAAATGGCTGCGTTGCCATTGTAAATTACGATGTACTCCTTTGGCCCTCGAGTTACTGTTTAGTAATTCGAGACGTTTAAATACTGCTGTATTTCTTTACTCTGAATTTCCCGAATGTCGTTCATTTCGGTTAAGACACGAGTTTGATGTTGCATGGCTTGAAATCCTACAGTGGCTACTTGATCGCACTCCTGGTGCATTAGATGGATGTACATTGAAAGCAAAATCATGGAATTGGCACGTTTGTGATTGGCTTAAGGATAATGGTTGGCGACTTGTAAGCAATGACGACGTATTTTCTTTCTGGAAACGGTCATGATAGTTATGACAGTTTACCAGAAGAACATACTTTAAGTAGCTGTTTTAGCCAAGACACAGTATAGTGGTATCCGAATTCGGTGCTGCGAAATTGCGCGGTGAATACACATGCATTTGGTTTGATCTCAAGCAATACTTATGATAACAGGCATATCATTTGATCGTTAGCAATACGAAACCTCGTGAATACAGGTTGCAACGTCTACACTCACCTATTGTCGATAAGCAAAGGAAAATTGTACTGCGCATAAACCTCTACTCCTCGTGAATTTGCCCAAAAATAAGTTTGAAAGGCTAATGCAGTGGTCTGAATTGATATGTCATGCTACTGTGGGGTAGAGAGTATATCATGGATCCATTCTAGTGTATCCAATTTATCTTGCCCTGTTGTTGTTAAGGTGGTAAGCCGAGATTACTAGCAAGTGTCAAAGAGCCCGCCACCTTACCTCACTGACTGACTCGTCGTTTTGCTTATGGTATTATAAGCTTTGAGCCTCCTGTCTGCAGCGGTAGATCCGGTAATGATATTCTCACAACAATAATTCATCAGGAGCTCAAGTAAACATGGGCTTGCAAGGTATCACGGATCATGTCGGACGTGTACCGAGGACACTTCCCTGTATGATTTCAGTCTGGTCAGCGCAAGCAAATACTGTCGTCCAAGCAGGTGAAACAAGAAGTCACATTGCAACTTCAGTTTGGAGGACTATAGTGAAGAAAAAAAAATGGTGACCACGTTTTTTTAACTCAAACGTTGATCAAAAAATTCGTTACACAGTTCGATTAGTAAGCCTACAAGTGAGAAAAGTCGATGAGATGGTTGACCAAGCAATTATGGTGTAATGGACATTTGGTGTGGTCAGTGGATCGGCACACATTGCTAAAGTCCTCAAACACGATACAAATAATATTTCAGGGTTTTCGCTGCCAAGCTTCAGGTTGTCGACAGATTGGAATCACGCTGTGCCAATTAATATGCTTAAGGTCGTGCCAAAGACAAAATGCGAAGCACGGAATTTATGGAAATTGACGTGTATGAATCACGTAAGTATTCATGACGTGCATGTCTGCATCTTTTCACGGGATGTCCCATCAAAAAATGGATGGTAATGGGACTCAGCATATAGAGATCGTTCTTACTGTATTTCTAATGTTTCGTTGTTCATCACAATTATCTTTGCAACATTGTTTAGTGACTTCAGCTTGAGCTAGGAACGGTACGTCAAAGTAAATGGCGATTGGCAAGCTTTAGCGCTAGACAGACAGCAAACCTATAACTCTGGAGTCCGGTTGGCAAGGAGTGCCGAACAGAGAATTGGGATTGATTAACTATAACGGATAGCACACGATATAAATTTCTTCGCGAATATATCAGAACTAATTGTAAATAGGCCAGAATTAATAGATTCAGGTTGGCTAGTCGTCGTTGTTTCTTTGGGCGTTGGTCTTATACAAGTCACAGATCATAATAAAATGCCAGTCAGAACTTGGAAACGATGCAGCCGTGCTTTTTTCATGCCACGATGACGACTACAGGCCAAGGCACAGTACTTAAGAGAGCCTGTTTGAGGACAGAAAGTTTGATTGTTGACTGTGTGAGCCCATTTTTGAATTAGCTGCGATTTCACTAAATAATCAAACGCAAACTTGCAGGATGGGGAATGTTGTTTCTCAACGAATGATACTATCTTGTTACATTATGATCGACCGACAAAATAAACACATGCAGTTGCTTCTGCGTCAGCAAATTGAATGCTGAAGAATCTTTCGCTTTAGTCCGAACGAAGCAATCGATACCCTTTCTGCTGCGTCTCAGTTCCCTCACTGACACTTTGGATTGGGGTGTCCGTATTCGTGCTTGGAGCCGTGGAACTACTGCTTGGTGTGCTGCCATCTTGCGACCCGAGCGTGGAAATAGTATTATCAGTCGTTGCCGCCGTAGCACTTCCACCATCGTTAGGGCTCGCTGTCCCTCCAACCACATTAGCACCAACATTGGTACCGGCGTTAGGGCCTCTGTAATCGTTTCTACTGCTGTACAGCCCTCCAGGCCCACCATACCCATAACCGGGGCCGTTGGGCCAAGCACCTCCAGCTCTAACTCCACCATAGCCATAACCCGGACCTCGGATTCCAGCCCAAGCTCCACCATAGCCATAACCCGGACCACGCATTCCAGCCCCAGCTCCAGCATAGCCGTTACGTTGTCCATACATCCCAGCGCCGACTCCACCATAGCCGTTACCTTGACCATACATCCCAGCTCCAGCTCCAACTCCAACTCCAGCTCCGACTCCAACTCCAACTCCGACTCCAACTCCAACTCCAACTCCAGCTCCAACTCCAACTCCAGCTCCAACTCCAACTCCAACTCCAGCTCCAACTCCAACTCC